GAATACTGTCGTCAAAGACACCATTTGAAGTTAACATAGACGTTTAAATGGACAGACTATGGATGAAACCTGCTATGATTACCCTACTTCTAAGACATGAATTTGATTTAAAAAATGGGTCTACATAAAATTCACATATGCAGTTCATAGGGGACATATTGCATTAGCTAGTTACAGCATAAAATACTTTTTAAACCTATAACATTTTACATAACATTTACCTATTTTATCTCACAATTCTGACTATTTTCTTGCAAATGCAAGTTTATATCTCCTAGTTCGGACTTTATAACTCGATTTAACTCAACAATTGCTAGTTTGTCAATTCTGAGGAAAAAAAAGTCAGAAGTGTGGGATATAAAGTCATGATTCTGAGCCCAGGGAAAAGAGAATGACGAGGTGATTTTATTTTATTTTTCTATCAGAATTGTGAGATACAATCTCGGAAATGCTAGAAAAAAAGTCAGAATTTTGAAATATAAACTCAAAATTACCTTTTTTATACTTTTATTCCATGGCTTCCATAGAATGCTACTTTAAAACTGTAATTTTCTGCCACCAGATAAGCTCCGCCCACACAAAAAAAATTGGTCTATTGGCCATGTCATACATTTTGACATTGACGTGTGCTGATAGACCACTGAGGCAGACCGGCCTAAAACGTAATGTAGTAATGTAGTGTAGCAGAGCAGTTATATCAGGAATATCAAATGTGGCACCTTTGTACCTTTTTTCTGAAAGGGTATATATATAATAAGTATATAATAAGTATTTTACTGACTTCTACCAAATTTGTCAGTCCGTCCATATTCACTATTTTTCCTTGCATAGTTGTTGTGACAAACAAATCATTCTCAGAATGGACCTTTGCCTTGGTAGCAAAGGAAGTGATCACAAGATGTACAAATGGCAATTCCTGGCTTCGTATGGTTTTACTAGTGGAACATCGTGGTGGGAAAAGAGAGCACAAGACACTGAGAATTAGGGACTAAATTGAGTGGCTAGAGAGAAAACCAGAGGGAATGAGACAGATAGGAGAGGACGGAACAGAGCACAAGAAAATTAAAATGACGTTCATCACTTCAAGTGAAGTCTCGTTTAGGTTTCACAGAGAGGAAGAGAAGAACTGCGGCAAGTGCACTAGAAAAATATCACCTTATATAACACATGCAGCAAATGAGATATCGCCATTTAGCGCAGTGCATATTCAATGCATTTACAAAGTAAAATATTAAGAAATTAACAGTGTAGGATTTTGTATCTCGCGGCATTTTGTTCAACACTATGAGCTGCAATGCACCATAGCTGTTTTAGCAGTGAAACAAGCACTTTTGCAGTAGCTGACTTTGGCTTCTCGTGTGATCTGCAGCAAATGGCACAAGTGCAGTGGTTTTAGGGTGGAGGTTCGGGCAGGACAGGAGGGCAGATGACCCTCTCAGGGGGAACTTCAGCCCCCACTTTAGCCAGCAAGAGTTCACAGTACTGTCATGCTGTCCACACATCAGCATTTACAGGAAAGGATAGAGAGTAAAGAGATAGAAAAAAACTGCTGAGCTTGCACACTAGATGGAGTGGTGAAAATTTAACTAGCCTGATGAAAGCATAACTTTGCATGTGAAGTATTTTAAAAGAGAAAGAGACAGATTAAGGAGGAGAGGTAAGAGATGAGTAAGCAGTAAGAATTGAGAAAGATGTAATAGGAAAAGGACAGGAGAAAACAACGAGACTACTATATAATAAAAGCAGACTCAAGTTTAAAGTATACTTCAATTTTGACATAAACACAGTATGCGTACAGCAGGACGCATAGCCTTTTAAAGTATTCTCCATTCTTCGCGAACACAAGCGCTCGACACATGGAAAGTTTCATATTTTTCCAGTGTCTGCACTATTTCTCTCCAGAAATTATGAACGATAAAAGTGTCTTCAGTTGCCTGAATCTCTTAAGCCCTTGCGTCAACGCAGGTGTCTATTGTTGTTGCCATTTCCAGTAGTTTGTTGTTGTTCTTTCTCAGTGGTGGACAGTAACGGAGTAGCTTTACTTCGTTACTGTACTTGAGTACATTTTTCAAGTATCTGTACTTTACTGGAGTCGTTTTATTTTGAGTAACTTTTACTTTTACTTCACTACATTCCAAAGCATAAGATCGTACTTTTTACTTCACTACATTTCATAAAACATATCGTTACTCCTTATAATATATCACGTGCTCTGACACGCAGAAGCGGTGTCTGATTCAAGAACGAACTGATTCTTTTCAATGAACCTTTTAAATCGGTTCGCAAATCGCACCAAACGATTCATTCACGAATTGGAATGATCCGATTGTAGCTGTTCTCGAGTCGACAACTCACTGATTCAAATGATCCGTTTAGTGCGAGTCTCCAGTGAACTGAATTCACAAGTAAGAACCGGGGGAACTTGTGAGTGCGCGCGCGTCTGATGCTGCTAAAAGTAAGTAACTAATGTCAAATTTTAGGATTAATTATTGTAACTGAAAATCATATTTAGGTCAAAACTGTCAGTTGTTGTGAACTAAATCTGCTGTAAAGGGTGATCTATTTAAACCCACTGAAATGATTGAATGCAGACACATCAACATCTGTGTCTCTATTTTAGGTTAAAAAAAACCCCGAAACATTAAAATAACACAGACTAAATAAAATAATTAATTCGCGTTCATATTCCCCGCTGCCGTAAAGTTAACAGTTTTATTACAGCCCTATGTGACGTCTGTTTTTATATTGTTTATCAACAGTATACATTTTTATATTGTTTGGATTAACTAGCCGAGTAGACAGATATGAAATGTTTATTCATAACCATACTGAAAATAAGTAAATATTGTTAGCTGATGCTAACTGTCTAGCTAACAAGCTTGCTGGTGCTAAGTTGAGGTAATTTTTAGATATAAAGTCCAAATATTGTTATTCAACCACCTAGATAGATTACATCTGAAAGAAAGGATGTGATGTTCAGAACATGGTAACTACATCAAAGTGGGAAGTGATGCCGTCTGGGGGCATTTGGCCAGGGGTGTTTTTACACCACAGAAAAGGTTTGAGAAGAAAAAAATTATTATGAAAATATAATTATATTTTCATTAAAATGTTCTTCCTAACTTCAGGCCTTATTCTCATGTCATATATAACTGTGATGTTCTGCAAAACAACAAGCTTTAAAACACTTTTTTCTTACTGGTGAAAATCAGATGATCAGATCTGTTTTCTCTCAGGTACATTATATAAAATTGCAAAATAAATCTATCAGTACTTTTTACTTAAGTACATAAAAAATTGAGTACTTTTGTACTTTCACTCGAGTAAAATTGAAAAAGGAGTACTTTTACTTTTACTGGAGTAATATTTTATTATACGTATCTGTGCTTTTACTCAAGTACTTGATTTGTGTACTTCGGCCACCACTGTTCTTTCTATAGATAGAAAAATTTGTCTGCACACGTACAGTATGAGTGTACTATGCTGATGATGATATTACATCACATACACTTTAGGCTTGAAGTGGGTAGTTGGAAAATCATTTCCTGCTTTGAAACAAGAGGTAAAAGGCCAAAGTTTGAGCAGCTACTAAAAATATTCCTCTAATCATGTCAAACTAGCAATAATAATATGGCACTCCAACATCGCAGCCCAAAATATAGGCATCATTCTTCCCATAAACCCATGAATGAGTTAGGAGAACTGTAAAGTGTATGAGTCATATGATATTGACAGTATTAACGGGATAGTTCACTCAAAAAATTATGAAAATGAAAAACATTTTTTAATAATTTCTCACCCATGTCATTCCAAAATGATCTGATTTTTATCACAAAATGAGATATTTTGAAGAATATTTCTACCAACTGAAACTTACTACATCAAAGCATTAGGTTGCACCATGTTTGATCCAAAACAACAATAAACACTACTGGTTTTTGCTTCAGTATGTTTCAATACATAGAAGTGCAAATTTCAGCGCTATGGCAGAGGAAAGATTGCAAATGAAATGTGTCAGTAATTTCAAACTCAGAGTTACTGCATAGCTTACTGCAAAGTTACTGCATAGCTTTATAAGGATTGGAATATTTAAAGAAAAAATAAGAAGATTGGTACATATGTGGTACTTTATAGAGCTTTTGTTTGGTTCATTAAAGCTTTCCTGTAGCTCAGGAAACAGTTAGGAAATAGCAGAGCATGGTGATATATGCCAATGTCATGAGTTCAATTCAATTCCCTGAGAAAGCATGAAAATGCATACCTTAAATGCAATGTAAGTTGCTTTTGGATAAAAGCATCTGCCTAATGTAAATATAAAATGTCAATTTGGAGCTTGACACCTTCTAGTCACTGTGTGCTTTCAATGTATGGAAAAGATCCGCATTAACATTCTGCAAAATATCTCCTTTTGTGTTCCACAGAAGAAGGAAAACAGGTCTAGAAAGACACGAGGATGAGAAAATGATAACAGAATTATAATTTTTGTGTGAACTATCCCTTTAAGCTACACAAACATCGAGTTGAAGAACTAATTGGTGAGTTGAAGGCTTGGCAGTCTGTCCTAAAAACATTCATTAACACGTTCACTTGTCATTTCATGGCTCGAATGAAGCCAACTCTTCTTGAAGTCTCACTACGAGCATATTTTGTTAAAGCGTGTGTATGGCAGCATCTGTAAATGTCTCTGGTCCTGTTTAGTCTTGGAGTACAAGAGTGTTTGTGTTAGGCACAAGTGTTTGGTGAGACTCTTGACCTGGGATTGCTCTTCCCCAAGCATTTTAAAGGGTGTGGGAGCTGTTCACTCTACTGGCAAAGTGTTGATTGGCCGTAGTCAGTGTGCTCAGAGGAGAACAGCTGCTACAATCACCACAAATGACAGCTTTCTTCATCCATCTCGTTCCCTCTCTCACTGCCTTTTACACAGATTAATTCAACAAGTAACAGTCTAGAGTTCAAAACATCTTATACTCATCCCACCTTCTGTCTCTCTCCATCTGTAGGAGCCGTACGAGCGTCTAGTATCTTCCCCATCCTCAGCGTCATCCTGCTCTTCATGGGTGGCCTGTGTATAGCTGCCAGCGAGTTCTACAAGTCTCGTCACAATATCATCCTCAGTGCAGGAATCCTCTTTGTGTCTGCAGGTGAGTCTATGGAATGAATGAAGAGATACAAAAGTCCATGTAAACATACGGTACACTTGTAAGACCCAGATTCTTTTGTTTGCTATACAAATACCTTGTACACCTGGTTTCTACTAAAGCATGCTGATTTATTATAATTTCTGAGCAGTATTTGACCATTTTAAAACTGCTGAGCTCCTGTATGTCACTGATAAGCATCACACACACTCTTTAGAAATACATTGTATTGCATAAAGCCCAATCAGGGCTCAACAGTTCAAGGACTTTTTCTGTTTGCCCACACATACCAGCAAATTTCTACTTGCCTGCCATTTAATAATCTTTGTTTATTATTATTAATTGAAACTTGGTATTAAAATCGAATTCAGAATTTTACATTTACATGTACAATTTTAATATTTATTTGAAATGTATACATTTTAGATGTATTATTAGTAATATTGTGAAATATTATTACAATTTGAAATAACAGTTTCTTATTTTAATATATTTTAAAATGTAATTTATTCCTGTGATTGCAAAGCTGAATTTTCAGCAGTCATTACTCCAGTCTTCAGTGTCACATGATCCTTCAGAAATCATTCTAATATGCTGATATGTTGCTCAAGAAAAGCTGTGCTGCTTAATATTTTTGTAAAAACTGTAATACTGTAATATCAGGATTCTTTGATGAACAAAGTTCAAAAGAACAGCATTTAAAAAAATTGTTCATCCAAAAATGAAAATTAGCCCATTATTTACTCACCCTCAAGCCATCCTAGGCGTATATGACTTGCTTCTTTCAGATGAATCCAATCGGAGTTATATTAAAAATTGACTTTGATCTTCCAAGCTGTTTAATGGCAGTCAGCGGGTGTTGCAGTTCATCAGTCCAAAAGGCTCTCTCTCGCACGCCCGCACGGTTTAAAACACCACATAGTTATGTAATAGCCTATGGTAAGTACAGAGAGTCTCTTTCCCTTGCCCCCACCCACCCATGACGCACGCACGCACGATAATATCGTGTATCGGCGATCTCACGGGCTGGCGATATGACGATTTGAAAAATTACCATATCGCCCAACACTAATTAAAGCGCTTGCCGTCTCGGTCTTGAACAGGAGCGCTTCACAAAAATGAATGAA